ACCGAAGCAGCCTTATTGAATTTGGGGGGAGAAAACCGGAGCAGCCAGCTTTCCTAGCAGCTGGAGAGAGAATCTGTGTGCATTCACCCTGGTTTCCCTACGTCTAGTTGATCTCAGCGTCCACCCAGGCCAGGACAGGGCACGGCCAGTCGCAGCTGCTAGCGTTGGTCCCTGAGCCCTGGCTGGATGTGTCTTCAAGGGCCCGCGCAATAACGCCTGCTGTCTCCCACCAGAACATGTTCGAGGTGGAGGAGGTGAACTGCATCTGCGTGGACTGGAAGAGGGGCTCGCAGACCACCTACTCGCAGGCCGTCAACAACGTGCGCGTGGTGGGTGCCCAGGTGGCCCAGATGCTGGATGTGCTCAAGGTGAGTGGAGGGGCCGCGGGGCCGCCCAGGAAGCAGGCGGGGCCCTGGTCTCACTTGGGTCAAGATGCCGCTGGCATTATAGATTTAAAGAAGAGTGAGAAAGAATTGATATTTCTCCTTGTGTCTTACTTCGAAAACTCTGAAATTCGCCTGAGTGGATTTTCTGGGAGGAAGGGTAAGCGCTAAGAGCTCACACTGGGGGCTTTTTATTGCCTTCGATGAACAGACAAGAAAGCTGAGGCCCAGAAAGCTTAACTGGTTTGCCCCCTCATAGAGCAGATGAATATGAGTTATCTTTGGACCCCAACCATCTAGCTCCAGGGGTCCCACTATACCAAGTGGGCTCTGTTTGGGGGAAACAGCTTCTCCGGGGAGAGTCAGTGGAGCCGAAGGACTGTGTACAGTTAGCATGTCCACTCCACTGGCCCGTTGTTGGGGGTCCTGTTGATGGTGGGGAACCCCTTCTGCACAATCAATTCAGCTGTGTCTTCCTTTTCCCTAATTCTTTGTCTAAGTCCCTAATTTTCAGTGACTCTTTTGTCTACCAGATAAAGGTCCCAGCCACTTCTGTCTTATATTTCAAGAGTCTATGAAAGAACCAATTGGTTCTAACTACCCCTGCAGCAATCAAAACCCGGGGTGTTTGTACTAGAGGCACTGGAGACCAATAAACAAGTATATTTGGGTGAACATCAGTGAGACCAACATGTGCCAACACCTCGTACCTCTATGTTATGTTCGTTCATCCACTACTTTGGGGGTACAGGGTCAGGAGCTGTGCTAGGAGGTGAAGAGGATGGATGAGGTCCCAGGCTCTGGAGGAGCTTATAGTGGAGACTTGACAATAGAGTGTGGTCAGGTTCTGGTGGGGAGAGTCCCAGGCTGTATAGAAGCAGGTGGGTGGGTCGAGCTGATCCGTTTGGGGCGGGGGTGGGGCTGATGTGAGCTGTGTGGACGAGAGCTGGGCAAGTAGTTGGGGAGATGGACAACCACAGGAAGAGAATTCCAAACCAGGCCCAGAGGTCAGAGACTGTGACATATTTGAGGTCCTGAAAGTTCCCCAAAGGGTTCGCTAGAGAAGAGTCTAGAAAGATACGTATTGAGTCAGGAAAACTCTGAGGCCCTGGTAATGAGCTTGGACTTGATGCCAAGGGGAGGGGGAGCCACGGAAGGCCTCAGCAGAGGAGTCACAGTATCAGGTTTGCACGTCCCAAAAACCACCGCACAGAAATGCCCTCAAAATGCCATCTTCCCTCTGCAGACAAACTACAGCTACTCACCCTCCCAAGTTCACCTCATCGGCCACAGCCTGGGAGCCCACGTGGCCGGAGAGGCAGGGAGCAGGACCCCAGGCCTGGGCAGGATCACCGGTAAGGCCCAAGGGGCGGGGCCCTGGGTTTTGTCCCCAGTAACCCCACGACATGGTACAAGACTGCAGCCCAGCTCAGAACTGGCCCGAAGGAGACTGTCCCCCTTGGCCGGCAGGGAGCTTGCACCAAGCATTTCAGGAGGCCCCCGGGAAACAGGGGGTGGTGGCTTCATTCCTCTTTGTTTCTCTCTGCTACTTCTGCCTCTGCCCCTGTCCCTTCTCTCTAAAACCAGGTTTCCTGGTGATGTGGGTTGCTCAGCAGGACTGGGCACCCGGGAAAAGGCGGAGTTAGGCTGGTATGAGCGTGGGCTGGTATAATTCAGAAGGGTCCATATTGTCATTCCTCTCTCCCCTGCTCTTTGAAATCAAGGGCAGAATAGAACATGGAAAGTATGCTTCCCTGGTCTCTGCTGGGACAAGAAACCCAGTCAGCAACAGGCCAAAAGCATCCTTTTAGCCCAAGCAAAGCCTTCACATTGTAACAATAGCAACAAAAGATATCTAAATAATAATAATATTATAATTGTTATAGTTAGCATAGTTTAAGCGTCTACTTATCCCCAAACACTACACACAGTGCTTTACACCTTCTCATTTAATCCTCAGAACCAAAGAAACAGGCTCAAGAAAGTGAGTGGCTTGTCCAAGGTTACCTAACTAGAGGTAGAACTGAGATTCAGACCCCGTTTTGCTGTCATTCAGCTCACACAAGTCTCTACCTTTGTGAGGACTTTCCCTTTTCTATTCAGTAGACTAGCTATGTTCATGCCTTTTTGGCTGCTCTGACCAAACCTTCAAAAAAAAAAACTGTTGACAAATCCAAGAGCCCTTCCAAGAAGTAACTATAGTCAAGACAAAATAATAATAATTAACATTTTCCTTATACAGCCATGATGGTGTGCCAGGCACGTAATGCTCCATATATTAACTCATTTAATCTGATAGCAACCATGTGGAATAGATGCCATTATTACCCCAATTTTGTAAGTGGGGAAACAGAGGCACAATAAAGGTTAAGTGATTCAGCCAAGGTCATGCAACTTGCCCAAGAAGTAGCCGAGTAGGGCTTAGAGCCAGGCAACCCAGTCCCAGAATCGTGTTCTTATCTACAAGACCACACGGCTTTGCCCCCCTTTTGCTTCAAATTTGGGAAGTGAAAGATAATGTTGAAGAAGAAAGATATATAAATAAAGGAGAGCATCTGATGTAGAAAAAAAAAAATCCCTGCTCCAAAGAAAAAATCTAAATGTCTTTGTTCATCTGCCCTTCCCTCTCCATGCCACTGGAGCCCTCTTGCGATGAGCAGTTGAGACTCTGTGTCCAGGTGGCCATGGCACTGGACACCTCCCGGTTGTGGCACCCTTTTGGTGAGACGGTGCATGGCCTGAGCAGCTGTACATCTCGGTCCTGTGGCCACCACAGCGAGGCCTCTGGTCTGCAGCACTGACCATCTCTCTTAGGGTTGGATCCGGTAGAAGCAAGTTTCCAGGGTACTTCTGAAGAGGTCCGACTTGATCCCTCCGATGCTGCCTTTGTGGATGTGATTCACACGGATGCAGCTCCTCTGATCCCCTCCTTGGGTGAGGCCAATGATGCTCCAGCCGTGCGCATGTGCAGGTGGGTTTTACCCAGGAGAGCCGTGCACTGGAAAAAAGCTCATTGTTATTCCACACGTTTCAGGTTTTGGAACCAGTCAACTGGTAGGTCACCTTGACTTCTTCCCCAATGGAGGAGAGGAGATGCCGGGGTGCAAGAAGAACGCCCTGTCACAGATTGTGGACCTGGACGGCATCTGGTCAGGTAAAGCCAGACTGGCACACTGCCTTCCTGGGGTGAGCAGCGCCTTTCCCACAACAGATCTTAACAAATAAAACACTCTGCTCTTTAAATATACAACCCCCCTTCTAGACCTTAATTCTGAAAACTATAGCTATATATCATTTGTTGTATCTAAGCTCTGCTGATTTTGTACTTACATAAAACATTGTTGTGGATGTCCTGGAGTGTGCAAGCAACAAAGAATTACCAAACCGTTGCTTAAAGCTCTAACTCCAACAATAAATTGGTAGATACACATAACAAAGTAAGGGAAAACGATAAAAGTAAACATCCTGACTCCAAGAGAATTTGTCTGCCAGTTTCTCCCTTGGGAGTCAGTGGTATGCTTCAAGCTTATGCAACTGGCTTCGTTTCCGTTTCCATTTGCACAGTGAGAGTCACCATTCCTCAGTTTTGAGTCAAGAATGAGAAGCAATCACACCTGAGGAAGGTTAGCATGGAGACTAAGCTGTTCGAGGTGGTTAGTCTTTGTCATTGATCAAGAGCCCTGGGACAAAGGGCATTCTTCAGATGCAGCTCTGACTCTGTACTTAATAATGTTAAAACTACAGTGGAGAGGCAAGTTTTTCAGCCAGAGGCATCATTTGGCATCATAGAGGTCAAAACCCTTGGTGATCTGACCAGATCTAATGAGTAAAGATTTTTATTGAATTCAATCGAAATGGCTTGGCAAGTATGGACACTATCAAAGCAAATATTAAGGATAAGACTTGTAGGTTTGTCTTATAGCTTTATGAGGGTTTGTATGGTTAGGGCAACCTAAACTCTCCATCAGTGATGGCCAAGCAAGTTCAGCCCAGGCCTGGAAAGTAGGAATCTGTCCCTTGGCAGGAGTTATGGAAGCCAAGGAGGATTGTAAGGAGTGAGATGCTTGAGAGTGGTAGGGATGCTCATATACAGCCACCTAAAGCTACTCAGACCTCCTCTTCATTTGCATGAAAGTGTTGTCACCCTGGTTTTAGCATGTCTAGGAGGTCAATGTCACATCTGGTTGTGTCTTCAAGGACCTCCAGCTTGGTGCCTGGGACACAGGATGGCAGAGGGTAGAGGCGTGGACTCACGAACCACATGGGCTTGGGTTTAGTTCCCAGCTCAGCCATTTGCAAGCTGTAAACTGAAATCTGAGTGTGTCATTTATAGCTCTTCCTGCAGTTAGGGATGGGATGGTATCCACCTCCTAGGAAGGGTGAGGAGGACATGGACGATCCATGCGACGTTCTCAGTACCACTGCCCAGCACACAGAAAGCACCCTCTATGTGCTAACTGCATTAATGTGGCTGGATTTGGGACTGACCTGAAATTTCTGAAAATACAGTCCCACCTTGGAACCATCCCACCTGGAGAGGCAGAGACGCTGCCACAGCTCCCTGACCACCTGTGTGGACTTCTTCATTTGTTTCCCCAGGAACTAAGGACTTTGTGGCTTGCAATCACCTAAGAAGCTACAAGTATTACGCGGACAGCATCCTCAATCCTGATGGGTTCACTGCGTACCCCTGCGCTTCCTATAGGGCCTTTAAGTCGGTGAGTTATTGCCCCACACCGAGTCCCACTGTGGGACTGTGGTCCAGCTGTGTTTGGAGTCTGTAGTACCTGCTCTCCTGGTTCTGACCCTCCTCTCCTTGTTTGGACTGGCCCATCAGAGTTCCTGGTCCTGTGGGGTGGAGGGAAGCAAAGCTTTAGGCAGGCGGTGGCCAGCACTCTAGATGAGTCACGTGGGTGAGGAAGACTGGAAAATCAGAGAAAAGAGCAGTCCATTCGAAGATCTAGAAAGGCTTCCTGCAGGAGGCAGTGTTTGACTCCGTAAAATCACATTTCGAAGGCAGAGAAGGAGTGTCCCTGTCTGGCCAGGGCAGAGCAAGAATAGAAGAATGTACAAGAGGTGAATTCACATGAGGTGCAAAGTGGTGGTGGGAGGAAAGACAGATGCTGGGGTTCAATGCCAGGCCGGGACTTTGTGCTCATGCAGCCAGCAGCGAAGGGAGAGATGGAGGGAATGGCATTCTGGAGCCTGCCAGTTCTGGCTCATGAGAGCCGGTGGGAGCAGTCTCTTCCCACTGCCCATTCAGCGACATCGTGTTGGTAGCCTGAAAATGGCCACCGTCAGAGTATTTACACCATGGAAATTGGCAAACACTGCAATCAGGATTGGTTGGGTTTTTTGTTGTTGTTTTTTTTTGTCCCACAGTTGTCTGTTAATCATTCACCAGCACATCACTCCCTGGAAGGTGTAATTCAGGGGTCCTCAAACTTTTTAAACAGGGGGCCAGTTCACTGTCCCTCAGACCGTTGAAGGGCCGGACTATAGTTTAAAAAAAAACTATGAACAAATTCCTATGCACACTGCACATATCTTATTTTGAAGTAAAAAAACAAAACGGGAACAAATACAATATATGTATTTGCATGTGGCCCGCGGGCCGTAGTTTGAGGATCCCTGGTGTAATTGATCTAACACGGGGCCCAGTGCTTTCTAAATATGGGCATCCTTATTTTCTAAAGCTCCCCAAGCAGTTCTAATGTATGTGCCCCGGGCTTGCAAAGGTAATTTCCAGATCATCTCTTCCAGGCCCCTTCTGCTTACAAATGAAGAAGCTCAGACTGTAGGACAATTGCTCCCCTGGACGTATGGATCTTAAAAAAACAAATTCACTCCTTACAGCCTGATGTGTCTCTTCTCATTAGAACAAGTGCTTCCCCTGCCCAGACGAAGGGTGCCCGCAGATGGGCCACTACGCCGATAAATTTGCTGGCAAGGCAAGCCCGGAGGAGCAGAAATACTTCCTGAACACAGGCGATTCCAGCAGTTTTGCCCGTAAGTTGCACCTAGACTTTCCCTCCCGACTAAAGGAAGCTTACTTTCTGTTATAAGCAAAGGGCTTGTCTCTGACCTGAAACATTTATGGACACATTTTTATGATCTTAGAAAAAGGACACATCCACCCAAACCATCCCATTTAAGACTCGCCTGGGGATTTAGAAAGAGCCTGCATTTCTCCCATTTTATTTCTGTGGCATGAAATGAGTGGAAGCAAATAGTATAATTAATGCGATAGCAGCAATTTGTATGTCTCTGTGGCATCTACCCTGAATTTTTACTGCTCCACAGTTCATGGTCCCTTTTTTCCATTTTTAAAATTAAATTTATTGGGGTGACATTGGGTAATAAAATTAAATAGGTTTCAAGTGTACAATTGTACAATTCTATGATACATTACCTGTGTGTTGCATTGTGTGTCTACCACCCAAAGTCAAGTCTTCTTCCATCACCATATATTTGACCCCCTTTACTCTTAAGATTATGTCACATACATACACCTGCTTTTCTATTAATTCAACAAATACTTACTTGTTACCAGCTCTTTGCTAGGCTGAGCCCCTTAAGAAGCCCAATTCCAGTCTATCCATTCCCTTCCTACCCCCCATCCACCAGTACCTGGTACCCAGGGGCTGCCCCTCTGGTGGAGAGTGGATGGGAATCAGAAAGGGGTGATTTCTCTCAAAAACCTGCTTGATGGACTAGGTCATGGGGTACAAACCAGGCATGTTTGGGTCACTTTGCATGGACCCTGCCCATGATGGGTCCCTAAGATGTTTCATTGTAAAAACGAGGCTGTATTATATAAATACATGAATATAAAACCTGCCTTATATAGTCGTCAGGTTTACTGAGATATTTTTTTACAGCAAAATTCACCCTTTTTATTGGATAGTTCTATGAGTTTTGACAAATGACTAATCATGTAACTACCTCCACAATCAAGACATAG